AGAGAGAGAGAGAGAGAGAGAGAGAGAGAGAGAGAGATACGAGTGTATATGTCTTTCTCGGTCACCCTCTTTCTGTCTCCTTCTCTCTCTCTCCCTCGCTATCTGTCTGTCTGTCTGTCTGTCAGTCCGTTTAAGTTAATGCTCATACCGACCCATGAAAGCAAAAATGTTTTAAATGCCATGACTGCTGTTTGGAGAAAATTGCAAATGAAAATTTTGAACAAGTTTGAGTTGTGAGATAAGACAAAATTACTTTGAAGGGTGACATCAAGTCTATTCAGCCATACATTTAAGTCTGAATTGTTTATTTTGGCACTTAAGACATTTTTTTTGCTTTCAAGGGTCGATACATACCAAACATGTACATATTTCACATCGCTGGTTTGGTTTACTCCTGACAATTCAAGTTACACAAAAGATGCACATGCTACTCTAACAGAAGCAATGTCCTGCCTCTTTCGTTAAATCCTCTTGAGAATGTAGCCTACAGACCCCAGACTACCTGACGCCCTCGCATTTTCCCAATAGCACAGCGTCCGAAATAGCAAGGCTGTACAGAGATCATTTTTGTCCCGTTGAACTACGAAGGGATATGCACTCTAGAAAAAAGCACGCTGAGCATCTATAATCTTTAAAGTGATTAGCTTTCTCCGCTTTTGGCGTAAAGGCTCCTGAAATAGCTTTTCTAGAGAAAATGTGTGGCGCTGCTGTGGTTTGATTTTTGATAGGAACAAAACAACATGTTTAAAAGCTGTTTTATCTTATTTGATCAGGATCAAGTTAACAAGGCAATGTTGGCTCAGCTGTAAGCTTTTATACAATTGACCAAAAAGGGCTTTATAATCTTCTGTTCTTCCTCTGAGAATTGGTTTCCTAAAATGTATTAGTATATCTATTTTTGCTTATTAAATCTTGTTTTACTATAAATACTATTCTCACTGCAACTACTACTATCAGTTTTTTTCATAACCTTTATTATGATACTACTATTTTATGATTGCTTTGTGGTTTTTATCATCATCATCATCATCATCATCATCATCATCATCATCATCATCATCATCATCATCATCATCATCATCATCATCATCATCATCGTCATCATTATTATGATAAATAATAGCATATGTATAGCGCAAATCCCTGCTCGAGAGTAAGCTCTATGCGTTTTGTACTATATTATACGAGTTATTACCTTTACGCCAACTTAAAAACCAAGTCCCTTCTCCCTTCCCCAAGCCCACTACTGTTATTCATTATACCTTTTGAAATTGTTATTGGGTTATTACTTATTTCTGTTTGGTTGAAAAAAGGTCGACACGTATTTGATTGTTTTCCCTTCCAATACCGTGGTGAGTAGAGGAGAAGAAAAACGCCATATTAGGTTGAAAATCTTCAGCCTGTGAAATATTTCGTATGCCACTGCGGGCAAAGGGATTATGGACCCGAGTTTTACATTAATCGATTAGTGGAAATAAATTGAGGTACTCAAAGTGGCAAGCCGTCCCCTTCACGATGGGGAGTACCATTCTCAACGAAGACAGCCACAACCAATGGGGAAGCTCTGCAGCCGACATCAGTCACTGCAAAGAGGCACCCCTACTCGCCAATCAGGGAAAAGACATCAAGAAGATCTGCCCTTTGGCAACAAGCACGTCCCAGCGTGTTTTTTGGGGAGCGGGAGCAGACTCCCAGTCGCTGACTTCCGCATTCCTGATCCTCAGATCAAGACTTGGAAAACCACAATCTACTCTGGCTACAGAAAGATCAGATTGAATCGTGCAGGTGACATTGAACTAAACCCGGGACCAGAGGAGCTGGTGCGGTGTAGCGAGTGTGGGGTTGCATTTAGCGACGCCAATCTACCAAAAGCTAAGATGTGTAATCAGGAGTGGTGTGAAGAAAGGACACACAAAGGGCCAAAATGTAGTGGTATCAGTAGGTGGAGCTCCAGGCATGAATGAACATGCCGTGTCCCCAGAGGTGAGCCTCCACTGGGTAGCGACGCGACCAACAAGCAGGCATCCCATCAAGCTCTGCTAAAGTACATTGCTTGAGTTGCAATGAGACTATCCGTAAAACTTACGGAGGTTCTCAGCGCCTGAGGTGTATTGAGTGTGGGAAATGTTGCCACAAGAAACCAGAATGTTGCAAGATGACGAACGAAGAAATGAAAAGACGTCTGAACAACTGGACATGTTGGAAATGCATTGATGCCCAAACCCCACAGCCAGAGGCTCCTGTGCCAAACCTTGACACTTCAATAGATGATATATCCAAACAAATGAAGTCATCTAAAAAGAAATGCTTACGCATTCTTTAATGGAGTGCAGATGGTATAAAGACGAAGGTTGGAGAACTCAAGATGAGGCTTAAGGAGCGCGATATTGATTTAACAGTGATCCAAGAGAGCAAACTCGAAAAAGGACAAAGAACCCCACATATCAAAGGTTACATGGCGATTCGGGAAGACAGACAGGGGGCCCGGGGAGGAAGATTGATCAACGATGTCGGAGATAGTCTGGTGTATGAAATAGTGGATAGAAGGGCGAAGACAGTAACAGAATCTCCGACCATCGGGATAAGAATGACAAGAAAAAGTGGATAACTGCCACTAATGTCTACTGCCCACTTACCCAAGAACAGCACAGGTCAAACCATCCAGCTTGATTTGAACAGCATCTCAGTGTCGCCATCCAGCATCATCTGCGGTGACATCAAAGCGCATTTGCCAGTCTGGGATGAGATTCGGCCAGAGGATGCGCGAGGAGAAGATGTAGTCGCAATGGAGTGTCGTAAATCGCTTGACATCCTGAATGATGGTTATATCACCCGAATCAACAAAATAACAGAGGCTGGCAGCTCGCCAGATGTCACGCAAGGTGGAAGTGTCTGGAAGAGCAAATGTGTATGGTCGGTGGATGATGAAGATCTCTGTGGTTCTGATTATTCTGCAATCATCATTGTAATGAACAGTGCAACTAAACATCAATCAATCTTTGCAAAGGCGCCGCGATGGAGAAGAAACGGAGTGAACTGGCCAGACTTTCGAAATGAGATTGAAAGCAAGATGGATAACTTACCGGAAACTGACGATCTGAATCTGCGAGTCCAATGTTTCAATGCCATCTTACTTGACGCAGCTTGTGTGGATGTCAGGAAGGTGAAGCCATCCAAGAAATCCCACTCGTGGATGATCCCCAAGTGTCTTGGACTGATCAAGAAAAGAAACCAGCTAAGAAAAAATATCTCCCACACAGGGAGAAATGGTTACAAGCTTGCAAAGATGTTACAGAGGCTGTCCAAGAAGCAAAGACTGACCAGTAGAAGGAGGTAGTTAATGGCATGATAAATTATTTTTTTGTAAATGTTCCTGAAGAAGCCCTTTACCGGGCGAAACGTCGAACTTATTAAATTTGAAAAGTCTACTAAGTCTCAACCCCTTTTTATAACCTGCTATCTACAATGATGATGATGATGATGATGATGATGATGATGATGATGATGATGATGATGATGAAACAGCATCAGCAGCAACAACAATGCGGATAGTAGCAGCAATATCGCAACCCCCAACAAAAACCAAAGCCATATTAAGAAGAAAAAACACAGTTATGATCACAAAATATGAACAACAGCAATGACAGCAACAGCAACATCAATAGCAACAACATCAATAGCAACAACATCAACCGCAATATAACAACATCAACAACAATAACAAGAGCATCAACAGCAATAACAACAACAGCAGCAGCAGCAGCAGTAGTAACAACAATGATACAAAAAAATCACTGCAATAGCACCATCCTCATTACCAACAACGATAGCAACAATAATACCACCACCATCACGACCGCAACCACCACCACACAACAACAACAACAAAAACAACAGCAGCAGCAGAAGCAACAACAACAACAACAACAACAACAACAACAACAACAACAACAACAATACCACCATGACTTACAGCAACAATCACAATGTTCCGCTCTCTATTCCAGACCCCGGCCCCCAAGGCGGTGACCAGAAAGTGTTTCTCTACACCTACATGCGAGATCAGCCAATCTGGCAATCCCTGCGTTTTTGGAACGCTGCGTTCTTCGACGCTGTACAGTGTGAGCGCTCCCGAAGACCCATGCCCACAAAGTGAGTATGACAAACGTTAGAACGTGGTCACCTTTACGGTCATATGAGCGCGTACTGTAGTTCATATCGTAAATATTTGATCAAAACACATCAGAATTTTGGGCATTTCGCAATACAGCAACCTCTATACTTAATAGGTGTTTAACTGGTGAGTCTTATAGACCGTTGAGAGCTATTTTGTCCAATAAATATTAAGAGTTGTAAAAATGTAAACAATTCAGTCTCAACTTCCCATAGCCTCAGATCATTTTTAATGCCAAATGCGCAGCCCTTTAGTTTAAGTGATATCTCCAAATGACGTCACCACACGTGTGCACGTGGGGGTCGAATTAAAGTTCACCATTGAGCATAGCTTCCCACTGCTCCACGCAAAAGATTGTCTTCTCAATTTATATTAGACTACCAATGTGCAGCCTATTACTTTTTTGGGTAATGGATACGGTAGACACTATAATATGCATTAATGGGAAATATTAATTATTCAACCAGACACTAATTATGTACCTAAAAAGCATTTTCATAGCATTCGGGGGGGGGCAGCGCTGTTTCCTGTTTGGCTTAGTTTTAGTAAGGTTTTACGGCGCTCGCAACAGCATAAGGTCATATGACTTGTTTTTTTTGTTATTGTTTTTTAAAGTGTTTACGGAGCTCGCAACTGAGTACGGTCATATGAGCGCTGGACACATTAAGCATTAAAATTTTCAGTTGGTACAAACATTTTGAATTTTGCCCGGGTGGCAGCCGAAGCCTACTCTTATCGATTTTGGACCACCAAGGGAACTTGAATGTGTGCAACTTGCACACTGGACCTCCAAGATTTTTCACCCTTGTCCGAGAAGGCTTGGTGTAGATCTTTCCAACCATAAGATCATGGGTGTGGCTGAAAGACAGCAGTAAGAAGGAGCCGAGGAGAGCAGTAGAAAAAATCTGCCAAAAGAGTCAGGAGTCCAAAGGAGGGAGCAAAGAAGGTGAGGGGGTGGGGGCAGAAAAGTGGAGACTAAAGCAGACGATGAAACATTCCTAGAGAGCAGGAAAGGATGTGAAAGGAGACAATATTATAGAAAAAAAATGTCCGTCGCTATCCGGATTCAAATCCGGGACCTATTGAATGAGAGGCGAACACCTTACCCTCTAGACCAC